CTCCTGGGCTCAAGCGAGTCTCCTGCCTCCGCCTCCCAAGTAGCTGGGACCACAGGCGCCCGCCACAACGCCCGGCTATTTTTTGGTTGTAGCAGTCATTGTTGTTTGGCGGGTCCGGGCTGGGGATTCGAACCCGCCACCTTCGGTGTACGTGGCTGGTGCCTTAGCCGGTTGAGCTATAGGCGCTGAGCCACTATTATTTTTTATTAACGACTATTATTTCTTCCTCTTCACCTGGGTCTGTGGAGGCGGGAGGAGGGGAAAGGTTAATCTGGAGAAACAGCAGACCCAACCTCCACTGTTTGATTTCTTTCTGATTTACAGCATTATCGTATTCCCAACCACACTTATGTCTACATCTACGTTATTTTTATTAGTACACAGTAATACAATGTCGATGAGAACTTGAATTTTTCACTCATTTAGTCATGTATTTGTATTTGTCCATCTGTTGATTAAAAACTTACTTGAGCAGGGCACTAGGCAATTTAAGACCTGTAAAGAGCAGAGGAATTTGTCCTCAAGGAGTCACAGCTACTTGGCTAACAGTGTCAACCACTAACATTGAATCAGAATGGCCACATTTGGAAAAATCTGTGAAATGACAATAAATAGAACTAATCAGAAATAAATGGTCTAGGAAGAATATTTTGTGGCATGGAGATGTTTTGTAGCCCAGAGACAAGCCCTCAAGCAACTGCTCGCATTAATGAGATAAGATCCGGACGCTCATTGGCAAACAGGTGTTATACTTTGAACATTCCTGGTGCAACAGGGTGGGAGTTGAGCCCCTGGGGCAAGAGAGTGTAGCAATCTTTAAGCAGGTAGCTCCCATATGTGGGCCTCCATACCTGTTGTATAATGTTTCAATAAAAGGCCACGGCAGGGGTTACTCGGGGCTTCCCTGCACCTATGGGAAGTCCACGTCTTGCAAGCATTGTAATGTATCTGTGTTCTGGCTCTTTCTTTCAGGCAGTGATGGGGTGCCATAGTGGCACTGACAAGGGTGACGAGGTAGCACAGTGCCACTGACATTTCTATACCAGAAAACTGACATCTCTGGCCATATTCATATATGCCATCAGACTTCTGACTATAGATACAGTTTTACTACTCATCTTTCTTCATCTCAACGTTATCAATACCTTTGAGAGTATCTGGCATTTCTTTTTCTTCTGTTGTGAACAGAGGTCCCTGCTTCAAGCTCACATTGAAAACTTTCTCCTCAAGTCATTCAATCAATATTTACTGAATGCCTCCCATGACCCAAACATTCTATGCAAAAACAGGTTAGGGATTATGAATTACAAGCATAGACACCATAATTTTCTGTTTTATTCTGTTTTAACCCACGATAGATTTAAATCTATTTTATTTTAAATCTAATTTAAATTAAGATGCTTTTTAACCTGTCATCTTGGGTTTACTAAGTTGTAGATGTAGTATGTGGCCACTCTATAAAATGGGGAATCTGACAGATGATTTTCTCTTGAAAAATCAAGTAATCATTCTGTTGCAAGGATAATGACCCATCTTTGATTTATTTCTTCTTAGGAGCTCAAAGTTCAGGATAACCTTAAATGTTTTCCAGTGATAGCAAAATTTCATCAGGCTTATCAATATATTTGACTAAGATTGCTAATGAATGTCATAATTATGTGTGAGGAAAAAGTATGAGACCATCTTATATATTTAAAAGAGAACTTGTTTGACCTGAGTCAGACATTTATTTCCACAGGCCACAATTTTCTCATGGTAAAAACTAGAAATGTATACTCTTAAGAATCAAATGATTTTAGGGCAGTGCCTGTGGCTCAAAGGAGTAAGGTGCCAGCTCCATATGCCAGAGATGGCGGGTTCAAACCCAGTGCCAGCCAAAAACTGCAAAAAAAAAAAAACAAAA